CGTGTATACTGAAGGTATTTATTTATTTATTTATTTATTTTTGGCTTGGCTGGTTTTGTAGGGTTTCTTTTTTTTTGTCTCCTTTTTTATTTGTCTCCTTTTTTTTTCGTCTCCCTTTTTATTTTTCTCTTTTTTACTGTTTTTTTGTCATGCATGTACTCAATGTATTATAACTTTTTTTTTTCTTCGTTTGGCGTGGCAGCGCCCCTCCTAACCCTAAACCCTAAACCCTAAACCCTGAAACGCCACTCTTCTAGTGTCTAGTGTTTGGGGTTTAGGGTTTAGGGTTTAGGGGTTGAAGAGTGAGGGTTTGTGGCTCAGGGTTAGGGTTTAGGGTTTAGGGTTTAGGGTTTAGGGTTTAGGGTTTGTGTGTGTTCAGACTGAGGCGGACTTTAGGGTTTTGTCTCTGGCGATAAACTCTCTCAGCACAGATCAGCAGCAGCAGCAGCAGCAGCAGCAGCTAGAGAAGCATTCTCTTTTCCCTAACTTTGGTTATTTATACCCAGACGGTTCGTCCCCTTTTGCTGCTGCTGCTGCTGCTGCTGTTGCTGCTGCTTCAGCCGCTTCTGGTGTTGCTTGTCTTGCTGCTGCTGAGTTTATATATATTTTTCGTTTGCTGCTGCTGCTGCTGCTGCTGCTCCTCCCCGTATTATTCTTGCTGCAGCAGCAGCAGCTGCTGCTGCTGTGCCGTGCATATTCTGCGTACTAGTCCCCACCGTTGCTGCTACAGCAGCAACGAGCAACATACAAGCACCAACAGCATCAACAGCAGCAGCAGCAGCAGCAGCAGCAGCAGTATTAGCAGCAGCAGCAGTATTAGCAGCAGCAGCAGCAGCAGCAGCAGCAGCAGCAGTTGTTGTGTATTGACTTTGTGTTGCTGCAGGAGAGAGACAAGGCCGACATAAGCTCTCGCTTTAAAACCCTCGAGGATCTGCTGTATAGGGAGATAGTACAAATGTGTGAACTTACATTTGAGCAGCAATTCCACTATGGTCCGTTGCTGCTGCTGCTGCTGCTGCTGCTGCTGGGGGTGCTGTTGTTGTTGTTGAGGGTGCTGCTGCTGCTGAGGGGTTTTGCTGCAGCGGTGGGGGCTGCTGCTGCTGCTGGTGGGGGTGTTGATTCGGCTGCGGGTGCTGCTGCTGATGTTGCTGGGGGTGTTGCTGTTGCTGCTCCTGTTGCTGTTGTTGCTGCTGCTGCTGCTGCTGTTGCTGTTGTTGTATGGGTTGTTGCTGCTGCACTTGTTGCTGTTGCTGCTGCAGGAGTGTTCTATGCGTGGGT